TTTGAAAATATGGAGGCTGCCATTTCCAACCTCTCCTTTTAGATATGTTACCTGCTTAACTTTCCTGTGGGGTCAATTCTGCAATACCGACCCAGAAAATGTATCCAGACCAAGAATTCTGATTTCGCTATGCCTTTTGTAGCATGCTAGTTTCAGTTCAGTGATCCAAAGAATTTACACCAGGGAAAGCCTACATAGTACATTCAGACTCATATCAGCAATAACAACTTTCTCTCTCAATACAGGATTCTATTAAAAATATAAAGTTATTTTTTATGCTGCTCAGAGAGGCACCAGCAGGATTTATTGTCTCCTGCTGCTGTCAATCAAAACTTGTGAGGAGGGAGCGGGGGCGGCACCAAGCCAAGCTGTGTGCATCTAGAGCAGCACACAGCCCAGCTCAGGATCGAGTCCACACAAGTGCCCCTATAGAAAGCAGCTTACTATGGGGGCACTCGGAAACGAGGAGTAGCCAGGAGCGCAAGAGGGTCATCCCAGAAGGAGAGGAAAGGGACCACTTTGTCCAATACCATTTCACAGAGCAGGCAAGCATAATGTTTATTTTAGGAAAAAGAAAAAAAAAATACATGCCTTTACAATCATTTTAAAGTTGAACTCCACTCTCCCTCTTTTTCTGTATCCCCACTAACCCCCTAACCTGTTGTTCTGTTTACAATACACACTTACCTGGCCAGCAGATTCAGTGTTGTCCTGCAGAGATCCACTCTTCAGTTTTCTGTGTCCTACTGCACCATCTTGGCCCCCCTCGCCTTGCCGTTGCTGACATGCGAGGCTCCACTTCCCAACCGCTCTGTGAAAGGGCTCCCAGAACCACATGGGATATGTGACAAGGCCTCCCAGGGGGCCCCTGGGGCAAGAAATGTTAGTCTAGCCATACCAGAATGGAAGTGGGTGGTTGGGTTTGCTGGAAAAAAAATAAAAACAAGAACTAGTCCCCCTACCTAAAGAAAAGAAGGGCTATTATTACTGTAGAGGGAGAAGTGAAAGCAGACAGTTCAAGTGTATTTGCAGGATGAAATGTCGTTAACCTGCCTTTTCCATTTGCAGATCGTATATCCTTCCTCAAAAGTGTTCTGTGAATGGATGACAGGCAGATTAAATGACAGGATCCACCTCCTTCATTCACAGAACACTTTGCATTCTGGGACAGAATAGTACAACTTCTATAAATGGAGGAAGTGTGCAAGCGGCACAACTCTCACTCGCAGAGGCTGATGTTAACCTCTGCAATGCCAGAAGATCAGTGCAATGGGAGGACACTGCGACAGTGAGGAGACGATTTCTACACTATATAGTCACCATCAAGAAAGTGGGAACATTTTATTACAGGCTATGTCCCTAATGTTATGTGTCTGGTGCTGCATAGCGAAAAAAAAAAAAATCTCCCCCAACCCCCTTTACAATTAGTTTTACCCGTTCACCTGTACCACTAAGTTGTCCTCGAAAATATTCTCAGCTACCCAGGGAATTCAGCACTATGTGCTGTAAGCATTCTCTCTATCTCAGCACTACAGGTCCTGCATCACCATGTTCCTATGAAACATCAGTAGGAAACGGGCAGTCTCTTTGGGCCAACCCCATGGTGAAGTGTGGTAGCGAGTACTCAGCGCATGAGCAGTGTGGCGCAGACTGTCATGAAGCCTCTTGGGATGGGGTGACATCATTCATGACTAGGGAAGAAAAAAGGAAGCGCAGGACAGGGACTCACAGAAAAGGCTTTTACCCTTCCCCTAAAATTTTTTTTTTTTTTATTCTCCAACTGTGTAACACTAGGGAAGGAGGATGGGAAGTGAATAGAAAAAAAAAAAATAGCAACTGATTGTAGAGAGTGAAGTTATGCTTTAAAGCCCCATTCTGGGCTAGGTCTTTTTTTCCCCATCCTTCACTTCCACCAAATTCTGCTAGCCATTTTTTTTTCCTCCTCATCTTGTGAAGCCAGATATACGCACCTAAGTCCCCCTCCGTCCTTCACCACTGCAAATCCAGCAGTTGTGAATGGAACCTGAGATAGGCAATCCTTTATGGTCTCTCTGTGATGATGTCATCTTGTTCTGGACCCCACCACTGGTCATCTAGGCACTGATGTGAACACCCAAAGAAGGGTCTAAGCAGAAAATAAACAAAAGAGGAGACGACTTGGACTGCTTCATGCAACTGCAGCTTAAAGCGGAACCAAGTCCTGCTTTTAAAAACTTCAAGCAGACAGGCTCTTTATAGCAGAGAAACCTGGAAGAAGCCAAATGGAAGATGCCAGCACCAGTGAGGGACATCGGTCCTTTGAAGGGAGGCAAGTATTTTGGAGTTTAGTGCTGCTTTAAAGTAGAACTAAAAGCAAAACTTTTTTTTTCGTTTTGGACAGAATGGAGAGGGGCAAGAACACCTGTCAGCATTTACTGTTGTCTCTGGCCCCTGTTAAGGAGATTCACCTTCTCTATTTGTCCTGTTCATCACTATCATTGAAAGTTAAAGAAAATCCCAAATTTTAGGTTGTCCCCAGAAAAGCAATAGAGAGGAAATCTTGCAATGGGGACACTAGTTCTCGTGGTCTGGGGGGGGGGGGGGGGGGGGAATCACATAAGGTTTGTCTTAATTTGCAGGGATTTCCTCTCACTTCCTCTTTGGCTATGGGACAATAGCCAAAGAGGAAGCCAATGGGACAAAGAGGTCAAGAAATAAACTGATGGGTTATAACCCTTCCTTGCTCTATTCAAAATGAAAAAAAAAAAAAAAGAAGTTTTGCCTATAGTTCTAATTTAAGGTATATAAAAAGGGCACTAAGGGCTCAGTCACAGCATGGTGCATAAAAAAAACTCATGGAAAATGAAGAACAGATTTATACTAGTAGATATCAGTTTTCATGTGTGCTTCAATGAGTTTTATACACGTTGCAGATTCCTGTGCAGAAAAAAAAAAACTGACGTCTACGCACCATGGTGTGAACAAGCCCTAAAGCAGAACTAAACTCTTATCCTGTTCAACCAAGGAAGCTGCCATCCTGGCCTCTGTTTGATCTGCATCTGCCATGGTGCCGCATGTGTGATCAGTTATGACACCAGCCATTTGATGGTTTGACAGTTAGTTGAGAGCACAAGCAAATGTGACAGTTGGCATTCCAGCTTGTCCGGAATGTAACCGATTTTTTTTTAAACCATTAAATTGATAGGTTTAGTTCTACTTTAAGATGTGACGTTCTTTTCTTTAAAGTGGTTGTAAACCCTTATATATACACTAAGTGAAATGACTAGCCTCAGGTGATACACAGAGATGAAACAAACCTTGTATGAATGTTGTACCTGTTTATCTGCAGTCTTCTCTATAGTCACTTAAAGTGTTTCATTTATAAAGCTTGTCTGGGAGCTCAGAAAACATGGGACAGAGACCTGAAGTTACAAACTGCAGAGCCCAGTAAGGAGAGGAGAGTGGGAGGGAGAGAGGGGGACACCGGACCTCCCCCACTCCTCACAGCACACAGGAACAGAGCTGAGGCAATCTGTCAAGGGGGAGAGAGGGGAGCTGGAAATATTTTATTGAAATAAAATCTTGCAACCAGCTTTCATTTTATACAAAAATACAAAAAATAAATAAATACATACAGTATTCAATAAACTGGAAACATAAACAAAAACAAGAACAGGACACATCATCCCTAAATCAGATATATGCTTTCTACTGAATAATAACAGCCTGTATGGCTTTACTAACTGGGCAGGTAAGAAGCAGAAAAAAAAAGTAAAAAAACATCACCAAGACCTTTATGGCCCACTTATCAAGCATTAAATTCATCCTCCACTTGTAGGGGAAGCAACTTCCTCTAAACAACAACAGCCTTTATGGCTTTAAAAAAAACACTACTTGTCTACTCAACCAAAGCTAAGGAACCTAGACCTTCAGGTACACATAGCCTTTCTTCAAAAAGACTTCTTAGCCTGTCAATCTGCTGGAGGCTCCCCCATTGTTCTCTTGTTTTCAGGAAAACTTATCAGAAGTGATTCATGCTGATAGAGTAACAGGGCAGCAGGCAGAAATGACACTTAGTACTCTTAACTGAGCCAAGTACATACTACAGAGCAGATGTTGCCAAACTACAAGTCCCATTAGACACAGGCATGATGGAACTTGTAGTTTCGCAACAGCTGGAGGGCCACTAGTTTTACACCCCTGTTATAGAGGTATATGGTTTGTTCATATTTCATGTTTGATGCTTACAACCACTTTAACACATCAATCAGAGAGAAGAAAGTGAAATAGAGAAGAAAGTGAAATAGATCCAAAAGGGGGGGGCTTTAGGACCGGTTCACACTGCAACGTGTGTTCATTTGAATGGAGCATGGGAACGTGCAAAAAAGTATCGCAATCACTGCTTTTCAGATCCCACTGCTCCAGCTATGGCACCATGTGATTTGGTAGCTACAAATAAACTGCGTTTGCAAGATTCATTTAGGGCCATTTCACACGGGAACGCAGTGTGGGAAAGGTATGTTCCCCGCATCGTACATGAATGCGCCACCCTTGTGAGATATGCACAGGTGCCATTAACAATTAATGGTGCCCGTGCAAGTCTCCCGGCGGCCGTGCGTTCACACGTGACTTTTCCTGCACCGCTTTCCGGCATGAACCGGCCCTAAATGTAGTAAACACAACACAGCACTAAATGTTTATAAAAGCAGCAAGTCAAACATCAGATACTTTACACCGCTTCTATTAATTCCCCTACAGCCGTGTCATTTTATAACACATAACTGTGCACTTCTTATTTTTACATCAAGTAAACAGTTGGCAAGTTTGTGTTAAATGGCAGAGGCTGTCCTGGCTTGTCCTGTTAGTCATGTAAACACTGCACTGTAACCACCTCCTACAGCCCCACTCTGCTGTCATACAAGTTCCATATACAATGTAGCAGGCCTCGCTCTACTAGTGCAAATGTAAACAGTGGCCTGACACTGACAACATGGCTGTACAGGTGACAACACCGGCCTTACCATCTGCCTCATTGGAGGAGACGAAGGTGAAGTCCCCGGGAGGGTTGTTGCTGTGCAGGCGTACACCGGGGCCCGGCTGCTGCATCCTACTGCCCGCAGCGCTCCTGCTGCTGCTGATGGTGGTGGTGACGCTGCTGACGTCTCAAACCCGCTTCGGTGAGGAGGGCGAGCGCGATGATGTCACGGCTCCAGCTCCTCCTAGGGCCGTAGAAGACTGGCTGAGAGCCCGGGTGTCAGGGCTCGGGTGAGATAAACAAGGAAAAGGATGCACAGCTCTCCACCCACCGCCACGACGCTGCTGAGGCGGTGGATATCCGGCTAGCTTCCTGAATTATCCTGTCTGTTTTGTTCTGCTTTACTGGGGTTTTAAATAAAGTTATTTCAGTAAAAAAAAAAAAAAAAAGAAAACAGGAAAGGAAAGACTATGTAATGCATCACTGTAGAATACAGCACTGCTGCCTGCACTCTGACACACCATGTTTGTGACATACATTTCTTTTACAATCAAATGTTTTATTCTGTCACTAGTTCAGACATTTCTTTGTAAAATATAAAAAACTTCAGTCCCCGCCTATTCTGACTTTTCTCTCCTAAATGTAAATGTACAAATCTTTTTTTTTTTTTTTTTGCTAGAAGGTTACTTAGAGCCCCCAAAACCTATATATTTTTTTTTTAAGCAAAGGCCCTAGAGAATAAAATAGTGTTGCAATCTTTTACGTCACACGTATTTGCGTAGCGGTTTTTCAAAAGGAAATTTAAAATAAAATACACGTGAATGAATTTTAATGCACAAAAACACAAAATAATATCAAATTGGTAAATTATAAAAGATGATGTTACACTGAATAGATACCTAACATGTAACGCCTTAAAATTGCGCACGCTTGTGGAACAGCGACAAACTACAGTACTTAACCACTTGGTAACCGCGCTATAACTGAATAATGGCTACAGTGCGGTTACCCAGTTCTGGGAGGACGTCATGATGGGCGCACACCTAGTGATCTCCATGATTGCTGTGTCCTATGACACAGCAAATCACTGAGTAAATACAGTTGCCATTTATCGGTAGCACTTTCCTCGCGCTGTCACAGCATGAGGAAAGTAGTGCCGATAAACGGCAGCTGTCATAGAGGAGATCGACACTGATCATCAGGGCACTGAGGATCAGTGCCTTGATGATCAGTACCACCCGCCAGTGCCCTCCATTAGTGCTGGCCAGCAGTGCCTCCAGTCAGTGCTATCAGTCAGTGCTGCCAGTCAGGGCCGCCAGTCAGTGTCGCCCATCAGTGCCAGCCATCAGTGCAGCATCATTGGTGCCTTCTCATCAATGCCCACCGGTGCCACCTCATCAGTGCTGCCTATCAGTGCCCATCAGTGCTGCCTATCCAATCTACCTCATCAGTGCCTATCAGTGATGCTTTTCAGTGCCCATCAGTGCTGCCTATGAGTACAGCCTCATCAATGCACATCAGCGAAGGAGAAAAATTATCTGTTTGCAAAATTTTATAATAAAAACAAGAAAAACTTTTTTTGTTTGCTCTTTTTTTGTTTATAGCGCAGAAAACACCCAGGGGGTATAAGTGCCCAGTGGGCAAGTGGTTAAAAATCTCCATAGCCGACGCTTTAAAAGCCTTTGCAGGCTACCAGTTTAGAAGTACACAGGAGGTCTGGTGCTAGAATTATTGCTCACTCTCTCTCTATTTGACGTTCGTGATGGTATTTCACATGTCTGGTGGAATGGGGTACTTTACTTTTTTATTATTATTATAGCACTACCCCCTTAGCAGTTTTGGGTCCCCCTAAAGCAGGGGTGTCAAACTGGCAGCCCTCCAACTGTTGCGAAACTACAAGCCCCATCATGCCTCTACCTTTGGGAGTCATGCTTGTAACTGTCAATCTTGCAATGCCTCATGGGACTTGTAGTTTGGCAACAGCTGGAGGGCCACTATTTTGATTTCTGTGCTCTAAAGCTTTGCACAGCGGGGCAACACGCATTTTCTTCCACACTTTGCACTCCGGGTCAGTAAACAGTCCTTGAGCTTGGTTTTGTGAGTTTATTAAAGGGGCTAAAATCTTGAGGGGTGTATGGGATGCCCAAGGAAACTGCTAAATTGAGGACAAACTCCTTAGCAACTATATACAGATGTGGACAAAATAGTCTCTTTTTAACTGCATTCCAGCTCTCTGGTGTACCTTCTCAGACCCCAGATGAATCCTCCTCTTCACCCAGCTGTACTGAGGGTATTCCCTGGGCAAGGGGGGGGGGGGGGGCAGACACTGCCAATTTATCACAGTACTGATGAGAAGCTTGTTGGGTTCTCCACCTGACTGCCTTCTCCTCTTATCTGACTGAGGGGGTGTAAGAGTACTTGTCATGCCTTTAGCAATTTGTTCTTTGTTAATTAGGCATTATTAGTATGCCTTATCAGTTTGTAATTCTCTGTTCATTGTGTAACTGCTCCATCTAGTGGCTGTTTGTATACACTGCATCTTTTCACAGTAGAAGTTTGACCCATTTCAGCTTCCATAGCTTGTAGCCTATGAACTCTGATTACATCATCAGCCATGCTCATAGCAGCCATTTCCTCATCACAGACTCCATTCCTGTGGTATGCTGGTAGGATCCAGCCCTCACATTCAGGTTCACAATAGCATCGTCGGTACGTCTACACACATGTCTATATCTTATGCATCTGTGTTTTATGTAACCTACATGTCTTACATGTGTTTATATGTGCATTGCCTTACTGTAATGTATAATATGCTTTGTCACATGGCAGACAGTGTTACTAAGCGCCTTATTTTCTGTTCCTCAGTTTCACCTCTTATATCTTTGCAATAAAGACAAAGTTGGACGTTGCTTCTTTGTCAACTCATTGCCGAGAAAGGTTTAGCTGTCTGTCAAGCTATGTACCTTCACACATAAGGAGGACAGAACAGTGAAACGACGGCTTCTTACAAGCTGGATACGAGGACTGCGACTCCTGAAGTCCTGACTGCAGTGAAACGACGGCTTCTTACAAGCTGGTACGAGGACTGCGACTCCTGAAGTCCTGACTGCAGTGAAACGACGGCTTCTTACAAGCTGGATACGAGGACTGCGACTCCTGAAGTCCTGACTGCAGCGAAACGGTGGCTTCTCACAAGCTGGATAAGAGGAACTACGCAGCATCGCCACCCGCAGCGGTTGCAAGTGTGCTAACCCGTTCACAGCATCATCATGTCAGCAAGGGAATCCGGACAGTTCGAGACAAGGTCTCGCATCTCAGTTAACTCCAGAGGCTCAGGGAGATCTTTGAGCAGCTCCACCGTCGCCATTGCCCGCGCGAAGGCCGAAGCCGCCAAAACCCGCGCGACATTTGCCGAACAAGAAAGACAATTAAAAAATAGAGAAAGCATGCACGGAAGCAGCTCTAGAAAAGCTAACTGTGGAAAAAGAAGCTGCAGCTGCTGTAGCAGAAGCAGAGGCTTTACTGAGAAGCAGCAAACTTCACAAGCGATAGACTCAGCTACATAAGTAGGCCCGAACCCAGTCTTCACAATAACTTGCAACGCACTTCAGATTACGTACTGCAACATGATAAGTCAGAAGACGGCCTAAATCCAGGTCCAAGAGCGACATCAACCCCTGCTAAGGAGCTCCAACAGACTCCAGTCATACAACAAGCGACCTCAGTTAACCAAAGACCCTGCATGGAACAAGTCGACGGTTCCATAGAACATCAACCCTCAATGCAACCTGCATTCAAACCCACAAATGATCGCAGTATGGTCAAACCCTTTAAGGAAGAACAAGTAGATGGTGCCTATTACAGCAACAATCTGTCAAACAGAGATACAGGTATGTCAGATTTTCTAAAATTCTTTGCCCGACGTGAGTTAATAACCAAGGGACTCTCCAAGTTTAATGACAGACCTGAAAGCTATAGGTCATGGCGATCCACATCATTCAGGAATAATATCAGAGATCTGGATCTGTCTGCATGTGAAGAAATAGATCTTCTTGTCAAGTGGCTAGGAAATGAGTCGACAGAGCATGCAAGGCGGATTAGAGACATTAATATTAACTACCCAATCAGAGGGTTAAAACATGATATGGGAGAGACTTGAGGAGTGTTACGGCTCACCAGAAGTGATAGAGAACGCACTTTTCAAAAGAATTGAGGATTTCCCTAAGATCCAAAACAAAGATTCCCAGAAGCTAAGAGAACTGAGTGATCTGTTAACAGAGCTACAAGTTGCCAAAACTGAAGGAGACTTACAAGGTCTGGCATTCTTAGATACTGCACGTGGTGTAAACCCCATAGTACAAAAATTACCGTACAACCTGCAAGAGAAGTGGATTGCTCAAGGCTCCAGGTACACAGCAACAGTACGATGTCTCGTTCCCTCCATTCTCTTTCTTTATGGACTTCGTGCACCAACAAGCAAAAACTAGGAATGATCCCAGCTTTAACTTCTCGATGTTTGACACCGCTACCCCAAATCAGGTAAACCTATCTCACTTCGTAACATGAAAGGTACACCGGTTGCAGTACACAAAACCAGTGTGTCTCTTAAAGACTCCTCAAACAAAACCTACAGTACTACAGAGGTCTGAGACGATCTCCACAAAGGACCCATGCGAGAATGTCCTCTACATAAGAAACCACACTCATTGTTGAAATGCAGAGGATTTAGAGGAAAACTTCTCAGGGATCGCAGAACTTTCCTCAAGGAAAACCACATTTGCTACAGGTGTTGTGCCTCAACCTCTCATCTTGCAAAAGACTGCACAGCGAACATCAAATGCTCAGAATGCAACAGTGAAGCGCACAATACAGCTTTACACCCTGGGCCAGCCCCATGGACTCTCACACCCCCAGACCAGGCTGTAGAGCACGGCGGGGAGGAGGGAGACACAGTACCTCCTGAAGTGACACCCCAGTGCACCCAAGTCTGTGGAGAAGGTCTTAGTAACAAATCTTGCTCCAAGATTTGTCTTGTTACAGTTTACCCCATCGGTCATAAAGAGAAAGCGGTAAGGTTGTATGCCATCCTTGATGACCAAAGCAATAGATCTTTTGCAAACTCAGCCTTCTT